CTAAGTGGAAAGTTTACGAGTTTTCCTCCATCCCGGACTTTTGATACGATTATTTAGCTGACTCYGAGAGAATTTCAGCATGCCCTGAAACTTCAGTCATTTCTGAAATATTGATCTGGGAAGGTCACCGAATTCCAGTGCCGGTGAGGTCAGGGTAATGAGATCGAGTGACAGGCCCAGTGGTATCCACTGATTTAGTTGTTTAGATACTGAAACCAAGCCATGACCTTCTTGTTCTGCAGCCTCTTTGATCTAACTGTGTGAAAACACAGCTGCTTCGTGGATAGCATGTTAGCATGCAAGGAGGCGTTAGGCGAGATTTTATGGCATTTACTTTAATTATTCTGCTGTCAAGTTATAAAAATGAACCCCTGCCCACCTGACCAGCCTTATCAGCTACTCAGAGTCCTCTTTTGCTCATTGTTGGTCTACTTAGAGAAAAGGAGACTACACAGAGCCTGCAGGATAATCCCTAAAAAGATCCTCATCTGACCTGGAGGAGAGCAGGAGGTGGACAAAATCCTACTGAATGAGACAGGGAGTGAGGGTTAATCTCCATGGTCTTCTAGAAATAGGGACGTGCATATGTATGTGTGCATGGTGGTGGAGTTACTGCTATTGCCCATGCTGTCAGCTGTGCCCTAGGACTAGTCCTAGGTCAAAGTCCCTCCTAAGAGCCAGGTGGGTTCAGGTAGCTCTGACACGTGGGCTCTGCAGTCAGAGGCCCTACCAGGCTTACCGGCTTTTGGTRGAAATACTGCACTGCCCTCTCCTCATGCCTGATGCTGGCTCCTGGGTACCGCTTTCCCCAGCCTGCCTGTGTGACACAGCCCGGGTACGTGGTGGGCACCCATGGGCCAGGTGCCACCTCCAGTGTGAGACCTGTGTCTTCATTGAGCATGACTGCTGGGTGAAACTGCTTCCGTGGCAGGGGCCTCTGCTCAGTGATGAGTCTCTGGTTTTACCACTTTTATTAAATCTTTGCATTGCTAATGCTATTGAAGGGCTGTCTGATTCTCCACATCCCTGCCACAGCACAGCAGTTCCCTCTGGAGATAACTCTGCCATCATCTCTCCACTGCCTGTGCCAGAGTCCACAGGGTATTTCCTTCCCTAGGCAGGAAAACACAGGTATGGTGCAGAAATTAAACCCGCTAAAAGCTACCATGGAAATATCTACCCGGCTCCATATGAGATCATACCCTAGAGTCCAGCTGCTTCCTGCCCCACGTTTAACACCACGAGCAAGTGGTGAAGTTTCATGATGCATCACTGTGACCTGGAATCGTTTAGAGCGGAGGAGCTGGACGCAGGGTTTATGCCTAGCCCCGGGCAGAGCACGTGGGCTCCTGGCTCTTGTGGGCTCTTGCCTCTCCGCTCGCACACGCGCTTATCAAAGTGTTTATGCAGGCTCCGTCCAGCTTCCCCAGGCTTCCAGCTTCTCAACGCTTGGTCTGGAGCCTGCAGGAGCTGGGCTGAGGAGCGGGGCTGCCCACGGGAATGGGAGTAGGTGCATTTAAAAATAAGCAGGAAGGCAGCCCGGAGCGCGGCCCCGCGAGCACCATTCCGGTGCGCGCAGCCGGGCAGCTTGGATGCCATGGCCACGTGCACTGGCACCAGGAGCACAACGTGTGTCCAGAGAGGCACTCTAGGCACCACCAAATCCAAGCCAAAATGATCTCTCGATTTCTCCCCTGACAGACGCGCTTCAGCGGAGGCTGGTGTGGGGCACAGAAAGCCGGCCCCACGGTGCCGGGTGCTGAGCAGGAGCTGGAAAGACGATGGTCGCTGCCCTGCTTGGGCTTTAGAGGCTGGTCGAGCTCATTGCCTCTTTCAGGAGAGGGCACAGTGATAAGTTTCTGGTCCTCAGCATAGGTCTTGTGGTTAGTAGGGACACGGTTTTCTTTTAGGGAAGGTGGAGAATGTAAACATTAATCTACACAGAAGTAAAAAAAAAAAAAAAAAAAAAAAAAAAAAAAAGTGCCTTTTAATATATAATTTTGTTTATATGATTTTGTTGCTTTGTTTTGAAAAAAAAAAATCTTTTCTCTATCAGATTGTCTGTATTATTTGCCCAGTGCATGTGTGGAAGGTGAGAAGGAGCGCGGTCACTCTGTGCGGCGCTTGCAGCGGGCACAAAGGTCTGGGAGAAGCGGYTGTGGGAAGGTCTTCCCTGCTGTCACAAAATGCTCCATAGTTGCAGAAAAAGAGATCACTTTGAGGTGGTTTCATTTTTGTCTAGGAGTCCCTCAGTGAAGATGTTTTATGACAATATTAAGTAATTGGAATGCTCTTTTTCTTTTTGTTTTGTTTTGTTTTATTTTTACTTGCTGTGATTACCTATGAAGCACCAAATCAAAAYGTGGCAAATGTAGTACAAATTCCTCACAAGACAACAAATATAAAAAAGACATGTTTTTTTTTTTTTTTTTAATTGTGGATATCTGTGAGGATTCACCTGCCAAATACCAGGCTGCGCTTTCATTCAGATTAACTTCTAATGTGGAATGATGTCAGAATTTGTGTAAGGAACGTGGAAGGGGTTATTTCTGCTGGTTAGCACTGTGTGTGTGCAATACTCACCCAGAATGAAAGACCTAGGAAAACATTTCAAAGAAAAACGCTTTCAAAGCATGCCCTTTCAGTTCTAGGTTGAAAGTATTATCCTGAAGCTTAAATAGCTAGATGTATTCTTCCTGCTCATATAATATAGTATAGAAAGATAACTTACTTTTGTGTTTAATATTGTGSAGCAGTGAATTGGCTCTAAAGACTGGGAGCGCTTATGCCCGTACAAGGGGCCGGGATGCAATTGCGTTGTGTGCTGAGGAGATGGAAGGAGCGTGGCTGGAAAACTCCACAGAGTGCTGTAAAACTGTGTCGGCAGCGCGTTGCTGCGGGGATCAAATAACTAAAGCTGCAAAAAGCTGCCGTTGCCTGCTCTTCKGATATGATGTGTGTAGATAATGGGCTGCTCCTAAAATGAAATTGTGAAATGGTCGAGTTTGAAGGGGGGCCCTAGAGTCACCTTGCAGAGGGATGAGCAGCTTGCATTTCTTTGCCGTGTTGCTGTGTGCAAAGGGGAAACACCCGCACCCGCCGAGCAGGAGAAGCGCGAGCGGAGCAGTTTCACATGTGGCTCGGGACATGTTAAATCAGCCAGCACCTTGAATTTCGGCAACTCAGGAAATTGGAGTTGGGTCCTGATGCTTTTCAGCATGCGGCTCTTTGTGGCGGCGAGAGCTCTCCCCGGTGTCAATGGGAGCATTCATGGAGYGTGGCACCTTTGTCGCTAATGCACGGGATGGTGGCCACGAACAAGCAAAGGAAATGGATTTCAGAAACGGCCTGGGCAAGGGATGAATGGGAGGACGGAGGCAGAAAGTCTGTCAATGTGAAGGTGCATTAGCAAGTCACTGTGGAAGAGCTGCTTCAGGAGAGGGCGTTTGGTTACTGGTGGGAATGATGGTCATAGTTTGCGCTTTGCTCAAGGGGGGAAAACTCAGCTGTTAAATTTAAAGCCTTCTCTAGGCTGTAGCTATCCGGCTGTTATGGCAACCCTGTGAAGTGCATTTGTGGTAYTGAAGCAGAGCAGAAGGGTTTGGATGGCGCCTGGGAACGTAATTCACCTTTGCACGGTGACCACCACGTGTGGGGCCGGACTCCTGCGCGGTGTTAAGCTGCACACAGGGGTGGGAAGGCTCTGCTCCAACATCCCGTCACAATCCTGTGGCAGTGTCTGTCGCAGGGCACGTGTCCCCACCGTGCGACAGCTGGTACAAGGTCTCTGTTCTTAGGATCCTGCTCTTAGGTCAAAGTGCAGAACAGACAAGAGGAGCCTGGCAGGAGCTGCTCAGGAGGAGAGGATGCTGCCATGAGAGGGCTGCAGTTTTGCAGGGTTTTCTGTGGGCTTTGCTCTTCCCTGGTTTACAAGCTTTGCTGGAGAGAAGGGCAGATGTACTCGGAGGTCAGACTGTGCCAGAGCAGAGCTGCGTTCTTACACAGTTCAATATTATGCTCTATCTGGGAAGAAAGCCTGAATTATTCAGTCACTTGCATAACTGTGTGTAAGAGTGTTTATAAGCAAGACCTTGGGTTCTGTCCATATTTATGAATGACCAGGGCTCAGTCCGGGCACGATTCCAGCGCTGATACTTGGTGCGAGTTGCACAGCTTTTGTGGCTACATGACATTGTTGCTCCCATGCAAGGCAYGGGATGGATGGGACATCTGGCAGAGTTTGTGCTCTCTGCTTTGGAACAGCTCGTGCACAGCGAGGGCTGCTACTGTGCAAACATCCCAGCCCGGCACACTTGGAAATCTTTCCACTTATTTAGCCGCCATCTCTGGTTTTCATCTCTCTCCCTCACATCGTTCCTTGATTTACAAGCCCCTCCCTCCTGGAATTTACCAGGAGGCAGCAACCCCCTCCAGCCCCCAATTCAGATATTAATCTCCTCAAGTGCCGGTTGTTGACTTCTCCTTTTGCCTTCCATTAATGGCGCATGGATAGAGGGGCTGTAGTGTCCTTGATGAAATATTGGGCAAAGTGTTGTAATTAGTTCCACAGCTGCTTTGGTCACTGATGTTAAACACTCGCGCTTCTCTAGAGGCCRCTTTCCATGGGAACCTGATCCTGGCCATTACCACTAACTCCTTTTGCTGTAGTTAGTCTGCCTTCAGCTGCAGAAGTGGACGCCCTGGTGTCGCTTGGAGGGGGAAGAGCAGCAGAACTGCAGTGTCTGCAGGCTCTGAGGCTCTGCTCCGTGCTGGGCTCGTACTGCTTTGCCTGGGCCCYGCCACGTAGGGGATCAGGGCCTTGCTTTCAGCCCCTAGTTTTGTATGACCCAGTCACAGGTGTTCTCACTGCTATAGTCTCCTCCTCCTCCCTGGCCAGGAGGCTGGGTTGAAGCTGCTGCTCCAGAAGGAGCTCRTTTTAGCCCCATGTGAAAGTACTTAGGGTCCCCTCTGCCCCCTGTCTCATCTTACGAGGCAAAGGGGCCCTTCTGCTCTGAAGACCCTGCTGGCTGAAGCAGAGGACTGTGCTGCCACGGTCATTCAGTGCTGCTGTATTTGTTACCAGCTCATACCTCTTAGCCACTGCCTGGGATGGAGACTCTGCTGTGCTGACATCCATCCAGTTTGGGTAAGTACTGGAATGAGCACGAGAGAGGCAGCAGGCAAACGTCACATCAGTGTTCCCAAARCAGCCTGTGGTGTGAGACTTCTGTGCTTTGTCCTAAATGGATTAACGCTTGCAGAAGAAAATAGGAAAAGCAGACCTCTGTGCTTTCTCCTTAGACATAGTAAGATGGGAGATTTTGCTTCCTGACCCCATATTGTCACGCCAATAGATCCCCTTTTGAAATGGGAATAGTATTGAGGATGTAGACTAACGTTCCTATGGTAGCGCCAGATGCTCTGATTTCAATTTCTTACACAAAACAATCTGTCTTTCAAGAAATACAGTTCCATGTAAGCAATAAGTTGCCCTTTTTATTTCTGGCAACTGTGATTATAGACAAAATAACAGGAGTTTGTTTTGAGGGAGAAGCACTGTTCCCAACTGCAGTGTGTTGGTCATTGGAACCTGTGCTGTTCTGGAGATACAGGCAAGTCTGTTTTTTTTTTTTTTTTTTTTTTTTTTTCCAACTATACATTAGTAGATGTGGGTACGCAGTCCGGCTGTAAATGGTTAACCTGGCTACCAATTCTTCTGTCACCAATTATCAGGAATGACACTTTTCTTAGAAGAATAACACTGGAAGGCTTGATGGTTGCTGCTGCTTTTCCTTTNTTTTTTTTTTTTTTTTTTTTTTTTCCAACTGTACATTTGTAGGTGTGGGTACACAGTCCAGCTGTAAATGGTTAACTTGGCTACCAATTCTTCTGTCACCAATTATCAGGAATGACACTTTTCTTAGAAGAATAACACTGGAAGGCTTGATGGTTGCTGCTGCTTTTCCTTTTATTGCTTTTATTTCCTTTTTTTCTTTCTTTTTCTTTTTTTTTAAAAAAAAGCAATTACCTTTACCAAAAGAAGGAAGCAGTTCTAATAGGACTTTTTTCTTTTTCTTTTTTTTCTTTCTTTTTTTTCTTTTTTAATAAGGCTATTTTTTAAGACTATTTGGGTAATTCAGTGATTATTACTGCACAGCTCTTTTTCCTTAGGGGACATTACACTGTTCCAAAAGTGCTTGTTAGTTTACTTAGACATTAAAGGGGTCCTTATGAATTCAGATTATGCTAAAGTACTTCAAAGTGTCCCTAGAGGTCCAGGCTGCTTTGAACTTGGTCTTTTCTGCCCAGTCTTGTCATATGTGCGAGCCCAAAGACGGCAGGAAAGAGGTCAGTGATTCTCAGACTTTTTAATACTTTGACCTGTGTTACAACAGGAAAAAATAAACAAACCAGGGTCCTCTCTGATCTAGCCAAGAAGAAAGAAGGTAGTTTCAGTGGGCCTCTTCATAACCCCCTTCTTAACCGGCTAGCTCTCTTGACCTATTAAATAGGACAAGCAGGGGGAAGAAGAAAAAAAAAAATCAGCTTTAAATACCTACTGCCTTACTCTCAACTGATTCCCTTTAAATGCGCTTCAGGTCCTCAGGGCTCCTTGATATCTTAATCCCCTCTTACCCCCCCCCCCCCATTTTTTTTAATAATGAAGCATGTGAGATGCCTGTGATTGGGAGACACTATGAACTTTAATAAAGCTGCTCTGCTTGTGAGCTGCCCATCTCCCCAAACCTGTGGCTGGCTCCTCTGCTGGGGCTGATCACCGTAACTGCAGTGACTCGGGTCTCTGTGCTGCTTTACGYGAGGTGTGAACCTGCCTGCAGCCCTTGTCATCCTGCAGTGCACCTGTGCAGCCGTAACGCAGTCTTATGCAGCCCGCTGGGTTCAGGGGCAAAATACGTGCCTGTGGGGATTTTCAGAGGAGCACGTCGTTGCAGGGGTTCGTATGACTCTCTGTCTCTCACGTATTTGTTTTTTATTGCTGTTGACCTACCTGAGTTCTCTTGGTGTTTGGAGACTTTCACAAGAATAATTCAATACTTTTCTCYGTCGGGGATTGCTGGATGATTTGTTTTCCCCCCGTCTATTGCTCCATCGTATTGGAGGCTTTGCAGGCAAGACATTATTTTGCACGTGATGCAACACAACTCTTGATTTTCCTGAAAGGTGGGTCCAGCTGCACCTCTTAGCAGTTTTCAGGTGTCTCCACTCAGCCTATTCTTCAGTGCATTCAGAGCACTCTGCTATGCTCTTTAAGGTAGAAATAGGACTGCTTGAGGGTTTTGTGCAGGTCATGTATTTCTCATTTTCCCTTCTGAAATCTGAGCTCTCAAACCTTTCAGTCATCTTGGCTGCAGATAATTGTGATGGTTGTTCCCTGTTGTGACCCTCCTTTTCAGTCGCTGGGCTGCAAAAGGAGCACAAGGGCTATCAGGGTCTGGTATCAATAAAAAAGCCACTTGGATGTGTGGATCCTATTTATATGCCAATATCTCACCTAATAGAATTTGGGAATATAAAACTGAATGTTATTTTTGTAAGCAGAAAGTGTTCTTGATTTCTACTGTGCAGTATTAGCAGCTTTTTAAGAATGTTTAGAAGCATGAAGCAACAAGGTACTATGGGGCTGGTTATCACTGGCACTTTTTCTTCAAACTTTTTATTTGCACATACTTTATCTCCAGTGTTTCTTCAATCTGAGAAGATCAAGCAGACGCCACGTGTACAGAGTAGCCCAGGCAGCCAGATGACACGGTACCGTTTTGACCTGAAAGTCTGACTTCTGCTCAACATCAAGAGGCAAACCTTTATCTCTGCGTGTAGTGCTGCGGGATGTAGGGAAGAATCCGCTCTCTCCGTTAGTGAACGGAGCTGATCTAGGTGTTTTCACAGCGGTCTTTAGCTGCGAGCCTGCTGACTAGAGAGCTCTTTTCTCCAAAGAAGCTATGGAAGTTGGATCCACCAGTTCTGCACAGACTTCTTTCCTAAATCTCCTTCTTCCTTGAAATTTGACCACTACAAAAAGTACAGAAGCCTCTGTTTGCTCCCATACAAGTAAACAAGAAATCTTCACATTTTCTTTCTATCCCACTTCTTAATGAAATGTAATTGCCACCTTGATCCTGTTGGAATGAAGATTGCATGTCCCCCAAAGAGAGCACCTGGCTTGCTCACAAGAAATATGTAAACCATAAAGGTAGTTTTTTCAAGTTAAGGGCTTTGGAAGGGGAATTCATCATTGGATTGTAATGCATTGAGTCACTGACTGAGATAGGTTCTGGGTTGCAGCTTGCTGTTGAGGGCAAAGTCTTGTCTCTTATAAATTTTTTTGCTTAAACATGAGGTCATCTTGTTCTATGGAAAGTTTAGTGCATTCATCTTCCCTGCAGCAAGGTATGCATAAATCAGACTATGTTATGATAGAAGTGCTCGCTGAAACAAATTCCTAATAAAAGAATAAACAGGGAAGCAATCCATCTGTACCCTTGACGTTTCTCAGTGAAGCCTTCCGAGATGCACAGCTTAGGAAGGGACTGGCTTAGTGGATGGGGAGAGCACTTGCTAGCAAATGCTGACAAAGGGGATGGGCACTGAAGTCAGTTCTTGTAGCCAAAAAGAAAATTGGGTTCCCATCGTACTTTTATTTTGCCAGTGAAGTCAATCCAAACCCAACCTTTTGCTTTCATGAGCTGGAGCTTTAACGCAATGTGAAATGCTGCTGCTGTTAGCCAAGGTGTGCCTCATCTGGACTTGCAGGTTGCAGTATTGTTCTGAATGTGGTTATGAAAGAAGGCAAGCCTGTATATTAAAAACCTTTATTAACTCCCTCCCATACGATCCTTCCAAAAAAAAATCATCCTCGTCASAAACAAATCACCTTTCAACAGGTCCAAATCCAAATATGTCATTCTATCTAGGTTGAATTTTGCATAGGCTTTGATTCTGGCTTAYAGTCTGTCTTCTCCTACCAGAAGGCTTTATAATGGATACCTGTGGCAAAATGGTAAGTGCTCAAGAGGAGTATTCACAGAGGATGTGTAGAAGAGGCTTGACCAGATTCATCTGCAGATGTTCCAAGTAGCTGATGCTGAAAACTGAACTGACTGTGGTGCTTAGGTTAGCAAGCGTGGTCACTAGGCTCTCCTGCATGGAGGAGGAGTTGCTCCAACACAGCTTTTGCAGGGAACTGCACTTCTTATATTGGCTTCTCCCGCGCTGTTTGTTTTAAGACATTAACTATTCAATAAACAAATTGGGGACTCTTGCAAGACCCTGGTGGTATTTTCCTCGTGTAAACATGAGAGTTTCTGGACACCGAGAGAAGTGATTTGCTCATGTTGCACGTTTCTGTGTCAGAGCAAAGGGTAGGCTTAAGTTTTTGGGTTTTCTGGGCAGTGCACAGGCTCTTGTGCATTACAGTGTGTGTAATGTGCGCCTGTGTGACAAGTGACCGTGAACCTATCTCTTTTCCACAGCCTGTAGCTGCAGCATTTCCTGTGTATTGATAACAAAGCAAAGTGCCTATAATAAATTCCAGAAACCTCATTTCAATTGCTCTGCAAACAAGGAGAAAGTTTTGGTAGGGCCACATGCCTTGTTGCTGTCCGAAAGCAGACTGGGTTCGTTCCCACCTTTCCTGCGTCGTAAGATCTGAGCCRAGCTCCTTGCGAGTTTGGTACTCGTGTGGTCTCCGGCATGAAGGGCTTGAGCTGTGAGGAGGAGTGTGCAGCTTTCATCTCGGCTTTGTGCCCAGCCTGGGCCGTTTTTGAAAAGCAATCTCTTGTATTAGATGGCTGTCCTTATTTTGTACTTAGAGAAATGGTAGCTTCTCCTTATGTTTCATGGCCCTCACGTGGAGTGACTGACACCGTGGAGCTCTCCAGCTCCTTGCAGATGGAGGAAGCCACCCCARGAGCTGAGATGGTCAGAAACCCCCGAGGGACAAGGGGGAGGCTGTGGCTGGGGTTCACTGATGCACTTGGTGCTTCCTCACTCATGCAAGTGTCCAGAGGAACCTCTGCAGCCCTGCAGCTGGATCTCCAAGGCCTCCTGTGCCCGTGGCCTTCCTGGCTTTCACAGCCCTGGCACCTGCACCTCCCAGGACTCCTCCTTCAGCCGGATACCTTTGCAGGAGTATGRGGACACCTTCAGACATATCCTACAGTACTGAGACCTTTCAGAAACAGCACATATGCTTTGAAAGGGGTGGTAGGRAAAGGGGATGTGGTTTATTTTAGCTCTTGGCTTGTTTTCTTCCCCAGCAGCCCCCTTTTAAAAGAATACTGGGCTCTTGCTTAAGCTGTCTCCAAATAAAGATTTACTAGTCCTGTCTAAGCTTTGTATTGATTTAACATATTTTGCTATAATTCAGTCAAGCTTTTATTCTGATCCAGCTGTGGCAGCTCTGGTTTGCAATAGCCTGTGCGGTGGCTCCTTTTGCGTGCTTTTGCTCTGTGCATAGTGTCAGCTCTCACCTGGCACATCAAATGCTGGGGAAAAARCCCCACTTGCCTTTGTTTCATTTGCTCCGTTTGTGTACATCAGGGTGCTTTTAACAAACATATCTCTGGAAACAAGGCTATGGTGTTAAACTTGTATCACTCTTCTTCCCCTTATTTCCCACACCCTCCGTCCTCCCTAAAACCATGTAAGGCATATATAAAAGTTTGGCTTTCCTGGCATGCTGTCACATTTATTACACGAACAGGAATGCCCAACAGCACCTGTGAGCTTTATAAAGGTCTTATCCATCTGATGGACTCGCGTGGCACTGTGTATGTGTATGGAAAGGGAGGGAGGACTGAATGTGGGTTATGTGAGGGACTATGAGAATCATGGACACCACGGTGAGGGGGCTGAGAATTCAGGCCTTTTGGGCACTTCTAACTGACTGATTCATGCAAGCGTTTTTATGCATTTTATTCTTTATCTTCTGGCACATGTCATTGTTGTAGTGGATGACAGAAACGGGTAAAATGGTTCATGGAGACTTTCTGTACCTGCATGCATATACACAGGCATATAGCACAGGTATATATTTTATACTGACAAAAACGTGCAAGAGTTTTAGTAGCTATAGATGGGTTTTGACTGATACAAAGTGTGTCTACACTAGGTTGTCTGCAATGAGTTAAATCAGTGGAAGTATTATGTGAAAGACAAGATCTAATGAACTCAATATCCTCCTACTGGCTTCCACTCTGCTCTCTYAATTTACATGCGAGTTGCCCATGTTTAAGATCAGCGAGATTTTCCTAGCTGCAGACAGCATGTTTAATCACATTAACACATTAAGGGGTAGCAATTCTGCTGTGTGTAACCAAAACAGAGTTTTTGCAGCCCCGGTGAAACAGCCGGCTCGTGTATCCTCTGCAGCATCAYTGGCATTTCTCCTTCCAAAAAGAGGTCCTGGTCTGGAGGGCCTGTTYGTGTGTTCCTGAGGGGCAGCTGGGCTGGAGGCTGGTGTTGCCTTTCCTGCCTGGAAGAAGGGAGTGAAGCCGGAGCTCTCCGGTGCTSTGTGCCCCTCCAGTGTGAGTTCAGACTTTGATGGAGGAGCGGTTTAATTTGAAGTGATTAAAAGAGCTGTGGATTTTTCCTCCCTTCTGCCAGAAGAGATGCACCATCTGGCCAGTGTGGGACCTGGCCCACCTTCCCGTAGCCCCTTGCTCGGCGAGACTGTAACTGCCTTGCTTAGTAGTCATCTTCTACAGCGAGGAGTCATTCAGGGGTGCCAAAAAGCCATGGCCCTTGACTGGCACAGTTGCTAGCAGAGCTCAGGGTGCCATTCCTAGGTGCTGCCCTGCTTAGTCCTGCGTCCAATGGCTTTGCTGTGCCAGAAGAGCACAGCTCTGCTGGTGTAGGACTGCTGCACTGGTAGCCCTGTAGCAATGGGCACCTTTCACCACTGCCAGCCTTTTGCCGTGTTCGTGCTGAAGGAGGAGCTCAGTGTTTTGGTTGCAACCATTTGTACGGGCTCCGGCAGCACAGTTCTGGTAATCTCTCTCCTCTGCTGCCTCCCCTGCTATCTTAAGCTCCGCTAGCTGCAATTCTAGGTTAAACCTATTGCAGAAAAGGAACTCTAGGCAGAACAGCAGGTTAGATAATATGAGGGTCAAAGTTTCGCAAGAAACAGTTATGGTCTTGCTTTCCCCTTGAATACAAATTAGGTTATTTTTTCCATAGAAATCAGTGGAGCTATGCTGATATAAAACTAGAGTAAAAAAGATTGTATTTGGGCATTGGCTTTTGAGGGGTTTTCTGGGTCTCTCTGAAACTTATTTCCTTGTTGGTGCCAAAGGAGTGACGTTGGAAGCTTGTGCGGTTTGAAAAGCTTGAAGGTATTTACCACTTGATAAGGTCCATTTTGGAGAACATGATGCATTTATTATGGATTATGAGACCACATCACTTCTAATTTGTTCAGAAAAAAAAAAAGGATCATTTTCTTAGAATAAAATGGTATTGGGGGAAAAAAGGTTCAAGTGTTTCCTAATACAGTGCCCCTTAGCCTATCTGTAGAAGAGGGTTTCTTTTTTCCTTCTAATTTCCATTTGTACAGTGCTGGGGTGCATTTTCCTAGGGTTATGGTTTTGCATGAAATGTAACTCGGAAAAAGTGCAGTTGACCTTCTCCTGAGGCTTACTACGAGCCCTAAGCGCTGCACAGGGCTTCACGCAAGGCCTGTTGTGATGGGCTGAAGTGGGATGTGTGCTGGCTCTTTGCACGGCGCTGCAGTTCCCCTCTACAGCCTGGTTGGCAACTGCTGTTAATTCGGGGGTGACTTGCAGGGAGAGCAGCCGACGTGAAGACCAGCAGGGCGGCCCTGCCTCATACTGGGAGCGATGAGGGGTGCGCTGCTCAAAATCTGCCAGGGCTCTTCCGTGGTGTGCGGAGCGYGGGAGCGGGTGGGCCTGGCAGGAATACATGCCGGTGATTTACTTTCTGCTTTGCCCCGCTCGGCGTGCGGCACCGCAATAGCCAGCGATAAGCAAAGCAAAGGTGGGGAGGACAGACAGTGCGACAGGGTAGGTCGGAAAAGGGGGCTCTCAGGACACCAAGCCAGCCCTCTGCTATTGCTGGTGCCTGTCTTATCCTAGGAGACCTTCCATAAACTGGTAAAGCTCCACTTTGTGCTCTATCTTATTAGGTGATTTTGGCTCCCCTATGTGAATAAGCTCAGTAACACATGTCCTTGTCTTCATGCCTCAGAACTCATTAATTTGAGTGCTTCATTTTATTTATTTATTTTTAAGGAGAGCACTAACAGGTTGCTAAGAAAGATTTAAAGCAGGTGAAAAGTGCAACTCGGTGATCAGATTTGGGAGAACTTTTGCAGAGGGGTGGCTGGCTTTTTCTTATCTATAAAAGCAAGAAATAGAAAAGATGGCAAGACCGATTTCTTTTTAGAATAGAAAGGAGGGGAAATATAGAAACAGAATGAGAGATGTAGGAAAGCTGTAGGTGATTTGCAGTCTGTAAAACAAAGGCTTAAATTTTGAATTCTGTTTGTAGAATATAAATACCACATTAAAGGTGTGGTTTTT